AAAAAAATTTTTTGTATTTTAAATTATAAAAATGTGTAAGATTTTCTTGTTATTAAAGAAAATTCTTCACCATCTGATTATCTTCATGAAATGCAATGCATGTGATTTGAATTAGAAATGGCTTGAACTTATCGTCGTTTAAAAAAAATATGGTGAAGCTTTAAAAACACTATAATGATATTGATCAAGTATATTCTCTTTTTTTTTTTATTTTAATTTATAAAGATTTTATTTGTTTTCTTGTATTTTCGTCTAGCATTTTCAAGACTTTATTGAAGATCGATTTGATTTTCATTCATATTGTCTTCATAAAATGATACTATATGCTTATGTTCATATGCTCAATCTTGAATATCATACGAAAGCCCATCGATTTTTGTTGTCAAGCAGCACAAATTGGTGTTAAAGTAAATGAAGAAACTAAAAGAAAAAGTAAAAATAAAATTCTTTGTTTTTACTATTTAAATTTATATTTATCTTTATGATTATTCTCCTTCTGTATAAGATAATGATAAGAATGACAATCTTTGTAAGGGAAATAAATATATATCTCTGACTCTATTTACATGTGCTACTACTCTAAATTGAAAACTGATTTAAAACTAAAAAGTGAAATATTTTAAGATGAACTTTAGAATATATTCAGTGAGTGTCAAAATTATTTTGTACAGTACGCACCATTTTGATTCTCTCTTCATCTTTCCGTTCTTTGTTGCTCTTTATTAGAACTATTTACAATATGTGTGTGTGTTTTTCGATAATCGATATAGAACGAGAAAGTGCAGACATCACTGCATTGCATGTTATACTAATTACAAATAGTAGCTACACAGCAAAAACGGCTAACGGTCAACCGGCATGGTTAAATTTGACGACCCAAATTTTCCGATGCAAAACAACTGATTATACTCATTCCAAATTTTTATATAGGTTTTCATACATTCTACGTCGATCTACATCATTTTCCATTCAAGATCAAGATAAAAAAATCATAGTTGCCAGCCAAAATCTACAGTTTCCATATAAAAATGACTTAAAAGAGCTCTTTTTTTCTGTTTAGATATTTCGAGCACTCTTTTGGCTTAAGCAAACCTAAACATATTTCTAACATAACAACACTGGTGGCAGTTCGAAATACGAATCAATATCATTATTTTGATATTTCAAATCAATATATCCGACCGCAACTTTGTCTCTTGAAGAAAAGTGTCTGTGCGTTACTTGATGGTTTGTCTATAACTTGCTCATATTCCAATGTATCGACGTTTTCTTTTAATCAATAGATAGCCTGGAGTGTTAGCTACAAAAACATTTCTCACTTAATTGATTAACTCAGAGTATCTCGTCGTGTTTTCATTTCTCTTACATACACTCAGAAAAAGAGGGACTTTTTTGTCTGTGCGTTACCGACCAATATTTTTTGTGTAAAACTCGATTGCACAAAGATAGAAACTTGAAATTTTAATGGCAAATAGAACTCCGTCGAATATATATTTGCTACAAGTTTCATCGCTCTAGCTCCATTAATTGTCGAGATATCGCTTCTGAATTCGAAAAAATGTCTGTGTGTTACCTGCGTTTTTCATGTACAGTTCAGAGAAGAAAAAATATATGAGAAAAAAAGATAGCATATTTTTTTACTACGGGATAACCTAAAGGTTCCTATACCAGAAAAGTCTTTTTTTGGATATCTCTTCGTTGTGTTTTGTTAAAATAAGCTGATATTTTTGCTAATGATTAAAGACATACTCATGGTTTATGATAAGAAAAACTATTTTGAGATGTCAGTGTTGATTTCAATAAAAAAAAAAAACTGAAACATACCGCAAGAGAGCATAGGACATATTTGTAGTTTTCTCAACAAATTTCATTTGTTCGTGACAGAAATTCTCATAGTACACTAAGTAATAAGGTATGTATCTGTGTTATAAATATAAGATTAAACAAGAATAGTTTGAAGAATTCGTCAAAAAAAAAAGCTGTATTGATTGTTTTAATCAGGATGATATACTGATGTTTTTTAGAACTCCTACAAGATTGAAATTTATTATTGAAGTCAATGGTGACATTTCAAAACAGTCTTTGTCAAAATTTTTCCTATAAATATAAATTATAAACGCTCTTTCATCATTGATAAAAAAAAGATCAGCTCATCTAATCAAAATAAGGCGAAGATACTCATTTTTCTCCTCGATATAGTAACTAACGACTGATGCAAAAGTCTTGGCACAAATGTCGAGATCTGTAGTATTTCAACAGAAAGTGCTAGAGATCTAATTCTTTCACCATTAGATAGACCAAAGTGTCTGCTTTCAAACTCACTTTTTGAAAAAAGCTTTTGATGAAGTTAAGGTTTTCAAATTTTAATTTTTGAAAAACCGCTAAAAACGACTCGTAACCATGCGAAATTAGGAAATGTTACGATAACACACCTTTACGTAAGTTTCACAGTTTTTCGCTGTGCTACAAAAATTTAGTAGCTCAGTAGCTACAATTCAAAAAAAAAGCTTGGTTCAATCAAACATAGTCTGACTGAGTTATAAGTGGATTTAATTATGACGAAATTGGCGCCAAAGCGCTATTTTGTTCATTAGTAGTGTTTAGCTGATTTTCAGGAGATGAAAACGCCTATTCCCAGTTTTTCATACGGATTCTGAAAGGTCTTGAAAAACAGCATCTTTTGGACTAATTAAAAATTTTTTTCTTCCTAAAAATACCTAAATTGTGCACCAAAAACCCAACACTGCCGTGCTTTCGCTTAAAAGCCTGATTGCAGATTACCATGGATACGCATAAATTTCGGAGTGAGATTTTGAAAAACCCTACACTTCAGACTTGATTTCCTGGAAGTTTCAGCTCATTATCTATTAATTCGACAAGAATACTGTTGTTTTAAATTAAAAAAAAGCGCGAAAAAGGATCAAAAGTTACAAACCGTTTTTAGTGGTTGTTGAAAATTTGAAATTTGAAAACCTTAACTTCATTAAAAACTTTTTGAAAAAAGTGGGTTTGAAAGCACACACTTTGGTCTATCTAATGGTGAAAGAATTAGATCTCTAGCACCTTCTGTTGAAATACTACGGGCCTCGACATTTGTGCCAAGACTTTTGCATCAGTCGTTATTAGATTATTCTATAGTAAAAAAATATGCTATCTATTTTTCTTTTCTAAACTGTTAGCTACTATTTATGATTAATATACCTATGCGATGCAATGATGTCTGCGTTTTCTTGCTGTATATCAATTATCGAAAAATAAACACACATTATAATAGTTCTAGTGAAGAGCAACAAAGTGCGCAAGGGACAGGCGAGAGAGGGAAGGAGGAAAATCAATTGGCATGCACTATAATATATCTTCTACAAACTAGAATGAATCAGACAATAATGAAGTTATTCTATTTGTAGCTAATATGCCAGGTGGTAAAGCTAAGAAATTAAAAAATAAATTACGTAAACATCAAGAAAAACAAAAATAAATTAAAGTTGAACAACATGAAAAAAAAAAATTTCAACATAATCGATATAAAGATAATGGCGAAGAAGGAAAAGTTAAAGAAGAATTTCTTACTGAAAAACTTGAATATGTATGTTAATAATTATGTTTCCTATTTTATTATATCATCAATTTTTATTTTCAATCTGAAAAACTTCTAGAAAAAATTATGCGATTTTTACAACCACTTAAAGATTTTTCTAGCAATTTTATTCAAACACATTATTTAGATTTTTGATGTTTATTATCGACGAACTATCTTATTATAAAATTTAAAAAAGAAAAAAACAAAAAAAAGATTCATAAGTTTTCTTTAGGAAATTATTTATTAATGTTACATTGTTTAAAGAGAATGAAAAAAATTAGATTCAAACAGTGCTAAACTTGATTTATGTCTAATGAAATTTTTAAAACTAGATTAGATGAAAACAAAAAAAAATGTAAAGGATTTATTTAATAGATTTTTTTTTTCTTGATTAACGATAAGTTTCATAAGACCTTATAAAATATGTTGTATTTTCTATAATATATTGTTTTAAAGGCTATTTAATAATAATAAAGAGAAAGAAAAAAAGTGATGCTATTTTTCCTTATTTTCGTCGATTGAAAAGAATATCATTGTTTTCATTGACGACGATATCGGTCAATTAAAATCAATGAATCCAACACATATATATAGTCTTAGAAAAGTACATATTGTGTAGACAAATAAATATGAAAGATTTATTGGTTCAGTTAGATGATTTACCGTATGAAATTCTTACGTATATATTTGAAAAATTGTACAATCATGAAGTACTTTATTCTTTAATGGGTGTCAATCAACGAATCAATAGAATTGCGCATGATAGAATTTTTACTCGTCATTTACGTTTACTGGAATATTGTCGAATCGACGATTCTTCCCTTCCATTATCAGATTTAATACTTAATCGATTTTGTTCAAGAATTTTACCTGAAATTGGACATGAAATTGAAACTCTTTATCTTGAAGGAACATCGATAGAACGTGTTCTTCATGCTACAAATTATCCTAATTTAAATAATCTTGGTTTATGTGATATTGACGATAAACTAGCTATGTCTTTCTTTTCTGGTAAGAGACTTTCTTTAATTGATTTCATTGTAGAATTTTAATTAATTATTGGAAAAGAAAATAATTTATTTTGAATATATAATTAATATGAATTAAATATTCATAAATAAACATTTACTATATAAAACATATTCTTTATAGGTATATCATTATAAGAAAAAGAATTTAATCGTTCCTCATTTGTATAAGTAAAAACAAAGATATTGATAATAAATTCGATTGAAATTTTTCAAGATTAATAGAGACAACATAGAAAATCTCGAATAAAATCAATAATATAAATGAGTGAGATAGAAAACAACATTCATCATATAGAATGTAATCTATGAGAGAATTGAAAAAAACGAAAACATCACATATAGAATGAGAATGTTCATCTTAGATAGTTTTATCAAATGAACAGAAATAGATATGAGATATATTTTTATCGTTAACTTTAAAACTTTATTTAGATACAAATCCTCTAATTCATGTATTCAACAATCAAATTTCATCACTCTTTATCAGTTCTTTTAATAAAGAAAACGATTTGTTTTCACAGAGCCATATCTATGAATCTATATTTACAAAAATTTGGACTATATTTACTAATTTACGATGCTTAAATTTCAATTCATCATCTTTTCGTGACGATGTATTTGTTAGAATTATTTTACCTGAAACTGCTATCTCCTCAACTTTATTAGAATTACATGTCAATGGGATAAGTATGATGGACTGTCTTGAGATACTTGATGGACATTTTGATCAACTTCGTATACTTTATATTAACTTGTATTATATTAGGGCTTTGTCTTTCAACAAAGAACGAAATGTAAGTTATTTTTATTATATTTTGTTTGTTTAAATGAACTCATATTTGTTTTCATTTTCAGGAAAACTTATTACCAAATTTGCGAATTTTTTCTTTGCGTTGCGATCATCAGATATCATTAGATAATTTTAAAGAATCAGTTGTGTCACTTCTACGTCGAATGATAAATTTAGAAGTACTTGATTTAAATATAACAGTTCAGTGTTATGAAAAATTTATCGATGGTGATATATTGAAGAAAGATATTATGATTCATATGGCACAATTATATAAATTTACATTTAATATTTACTCAACCATTAATCATCGTTATCAAACTAATTTCGCATTAAATGAATCTATTGAAAAAACATTTAAATATTTTTCTAACAATCAAATAATTACTTGTATTGATCATTTTCAAAGATATAGTCGATGTCATATTTATTCATATCCATATCAATGGAAAATTTACGATCATATAACAAATAATTTTCGAGATGGATTATTTACTAGTGTTACTCAAGTATTATTACGTGATGAGCATCCATTTGAACATGAATTTTTTCTTCGAATTTCGAAATCGTTTCCATTTATGAAACAATTAACAATAATGAATTGGGAAGCACAACAAATAAAATCAAATAATGATGATAAAATATTATCAATTATTGAATATCCCAATCTTACTCGACTGAATCTTACTTTTACTCATGATGATTATGTTCAACTATTTTTATTTAATATGAAAATGTCTTTACCAAATAATCTTCATCTTCGTGTTGATTATGAATCACTAGAAAGAGTGACATACTGTTTTACAAGATATATGACAGAAAATAATTCTACAAAATTTGCTGCTCTATATTTTGATCCAGGGGATCAAATCGATGAATATCATATCAAAAACTATTTTCCTTATGCATGTATTCATCGTACTTTTCGTTTTATATTATCTAAATAAAATAAATCTATTTATATGGAATGAAATTATTGAAAACGACAAAAGAGAATCAATAATAGAGATAACAATTTTAAAGAGAAATCAAACGATATGTAGTTTGGTTCCATTCAAAATTGATTGTACAACTGATGAAATGAGCTTGTATACAATAGATCTTCACAATTACTTAACTATTTGAACTTTAGATGTTTCATCAATATGTAGCTTATCTATAATAGTATTTATTCAGATCAATTCTTTGTATCTGTCAATTAAAAGTGTTCACACAAGAAGAACAGAAAAGGATGACATCTTCGAGGATTTTTCTTGTTTCTAATGTTCTATACATAAAATGTTTTGTCTGATTTTGTTTGGCAATTGCTATTTATTTTTCTCATTAGTCAAACTAAATAGCATTTATAGTACAGAATATATGCAAACTTATAAAAGAATTTTATTGAATGAATTTCTTCGATTCATGTTGTATTCAGAACATAGTCCATTGAACTTTGACAAAAGATGCTCGATTTTATTTGAAAAATTTCTATAGGAATTATATCTTTTTAAACCCATATTGTATTATCTAAAGAATATTTTGCATGATATCAGAAACAAATTTCATGTAGGAAATCTCGAACATGTCTATTATTAATTAAATCATCTTTACATATAAGTAAATATGTATTTCATATGGATAATAAAACTACTAATGGATTAAAATGACCATGATAAATTATAAACAAATGTATAATAACAACTATTGTTCTTAACACTTATTATTTGACCATAATTAAAAAGATGTATGTTTGTGATATATGATTATTCAATGAAAAAATAAAATTCTTCTTGAAGAATATTCTGAGAAGATTTATTTGATGAGTTATATAATAAACGAGAAAATAATTGAAGAAATTGTTAATTAAGATTCTTTTTTTTTTATCTATTTCATATTGAATTGAACGACATAACAATTAAACTGTATCATATCAATTGTTTGAACATCTAGCTATGATGAATATGATGAAGAAATAAATATTTTAACATTTAGACTAAATTTTATTTCATTAAACGATCTTTTTCACAAAAATTTTCAATAGTTTTGCTGAACAATATGAGAACAAACAAATCTTGTCAATTATTAATATAAAATTTTTTATTTAACTTATCATAAATGAAATAACAAAAAAAGAAAAAATTTTAATGAGGATGTGAGTGTGTTGCCTGAACCAAGTTAATAAAATATTTTAAAATTTGTATCATTGAAATTAAAGCTTGTTCAATTTTGCACCAGTGGGCAACTTTTTGATCGGTGACAAAAATGACAATTTCCAGCGGAAAATTGACGTTCAGCACAAAAATGGTAACAGCTATAAGTGTAAAGCACTCTACTGTTTCCTATAACGAAAGAAGGTTACATATCCACGTATATTGTCAGCAGAAAAATGTAAACGCAGCGGAAAAATGATTCAGGACAGAGGACAAATGAGTAATTAGTAGGGGAAAATGATAGGACATAATGGAAAAATGCTTTCTATAATAAAAGATGGTTACGTATATATGCACATTGTCAGAAGAAAAATGCAAACCCAGCGGGGAAAATCGTTTAGGACAGAGGAAAAATGCTTAGTTAGTAAAGAAAAATGATAGGATAAAATGGAAAAATGCGTCGTATAAGAAAAGATAGTTACATATATACACACATCGTCAGCAAAAAAATGCAAACCCAGCGGGAAAATGGTTTAAGGAGTAGGAAAAATGATAGAACCAAAGAAAAAATGCTTCCAGTATACATATTTATGCGCATACATTATTAGCGAAAAAATGTAAAGTCAGGAGTAAAAGAATTTAGAGTGGAGGACAAAGTGTTGTTCATCTAGAATAATGATGAGACTAAAATGCATCTATGCTGTTACAGCAAAAGCCTTTAATGAACTATTCCGAAATTTGTCAGTTTTTATATGTTTAAAACATTGTGCTAAGTGTGTATTATTTCCACTTTCATCAGAAATTCGTCTTGAGATGTCGGGCGATCTTAGGAATGAAACGACAGTTGCTTCACTCTTTTTTTCACGTCTATAAATTTAGAAACACCAAAAATACTGTTTAACTTTTCTAACTATTTTTATGGCTTTGAAAAATTCTATAATCGCTTCTATCGGCTATACTTATGAAATCATTTGAGATTAGAGAAAGAGAGTTTAATCATCGGTCATTCAAACACAATTAGAAAAACGTTCGGTAATTCAAACATGGACGAGAGATCATCAGAAGCATTATGAGGAAAGCCATCTTTCTTATTAATTTCCGATATCATTTCATTGGTTCGGTTCGTTATTCATATAAATATTAGCAATTTTCGTAATGATCTTGCTGTTCATATGTCGCGATGATCAATGATGACGATCGATAACGGTCAGAACCATCGTAAAAAGCTGGCCAATGAGTAGCAAACAATCGTGCAAACCGTAATCTTTTATCTTTTCTTTTTGATCATACGTATTTAAGAAACATCATGCATTACGGTACCACGTGTATATACGTCAAGAACACGCTGCAGAAAGCATACCATAGTAGAGAAAAACAAAAAATAAGTTACAGTAGTGGTCAGGATATATAATCCATCACCTGTCCTTTAGACTCTCTCGTACAAGAAATATAATTCACACCACTTACATTTCTTCCAAGATATTTGTGATGTCAAAGATTTTATTTGACTATCGAACACAAATTCATATGGAGAAAAAATAATGACGCACACCCAAACACACAAGAACAGAACAATATATATCTGCCGCTTCCAACGCCTTCTCTCATACATACGTCGCGATCCAACACACACTCTCCCACTCAAGATAACGAAAAATGTGAGAGAAGGGAAAGGAATGGGAGAGGAGGGAAAAGACATGTGAGAGGAGTGTGAAAGAAACAAACAAGCATGAGAGAGAAAAGGATATATCACGTCCAATGGACATGACAATATTCAACAGAACGCGCAAAAAGTGATGCATTACGAAAAGTTATGACCAATTCTATAATTGTGATGACAATAACTATGTCACAACTTCTTTCATTTCATCCTGACTATTATTCTACTGTTAGCGAAAATTTTTCTGCTACGTCCCATAAACACTTTCCTTTATGCCCCATATTATAGCCATCCAGGGCTACAATCTTTCTTTTCATGCCATATATATACGCTCTGTTTCTACCATTAATTCCATATCTTTCGTGACAATCACTGTTATCATGAACCAAAAGTAAAACTAAACTACTTTCCAATTCATACACATCAACACAATATCCATCCAATGATAGTTTAATTAATTTTCTGTTCGGCCTTTCTCAATTCACTAAGAAACTAAGCATATAAAACAACGAGACCGTAATTTATATATGATCGTAATTCCATCATTCCGAACCATTTTTTCTATAGAAATTACAATTTTTCACGTGGATTTTCATTTTTCCGCTAGACAAAAACGTATATGTACGTGACTAAACCATCTTTCCACTAGAAGGATGCATTATTCCATTATTCCGAAGCATTTTTGCTATAGAAATTAGGATTTTTCACGTGAATTTTCATTTTTCCGCTAACAAAAATATATATATGTAGATATAAGACTAAAGCATCTTTCCTCTAAAAATAAACATTATCGTATTATTCTAAACCATTTTTCCTATAGAAATAATCATTTTTCCCGGAGGTGTTCATTTTGTCGGTGGAGAAAGTTTGTATGTAATGCTTTCGTTGTACGTACGAAGAAGTAGATAGTCTTTCTTGGTTTAGTTGTATCTGTAGGGGAAACGATCATTTTTGTGCTGAGCGTTATTTGTTCGCTTGGAATAATGATTTTTGTCACCGATGAGAAAGTTGCCCAACCCTCGTAAAAAGAATTCGAAAAACTTCCATTTCCATCATTTTTTTCTAATTAAAAATCAGTTAAAATGTTGCTGTTTTTATCTACTTTTAAACAGATTATTCGATTTTGGAACACCTGCTATAGGAATATCAAAATGACAATATAATAAGTAATAATTTAATTAAAATTCCATGACTATCGTATTCTTTACTAATTTTAATTGTTCCATTATGTATTCAATATCCATAATCAATAATTGTTAGATTTTTATTGAATAAAGTATTTTAGAATGAATAGTTAACTATGATAAATACAATTACATGATGATATTTATTCTTTATCAACTTAAACAAGATAGATATTGTTTGAAAAGGGAATATGAAACATACTAATGTCGATTTTCATCCAATTGAATTAAACTATTATATAATATTGTTCTTCTAGTCCACTGTGTTTGTTTATTTCTTAGTCTTTTTATCTCTTGTCTACATTTGTACGTATTGTTTACATGTGTATATGTTTATTGTTAAATTTTATATTCATACGATGAAACAAACAACATCTTCGCCTGCATCTATTGCCACAACCTCAAATATTACTTATAATAATAATGATGACAATCGTGATATTCAATTCAAAAAACAAACTACAATCAACGATGTTGTAGCTATTAAAAGCAACGAATGTACGCGTATTCAAGAATATTTTTCCTGGAATTTTCATAAATATGTCAATTCTTTATTTAGATTACTTTAAGCTGGCTAAAGTCAATGAAATGAAAGACAAAAATATAATAGTAACTTTATTTCATTATAACCCAGGTCCAGCATTACGATGACCGTGAGCGGGTCGTAAACGACCGTTAATGATAAGGATACGGCCGTAAACTGCCCGTATTTGACCCGTTTGGTATACGCCGTAATACGACCGTATATCACCGTGCCGTATACGATTAGAAACGGTGAAAAACGGTTGGGAAATCCCGTATTCGATCGTTTACGACACGGCGATATACCGCCGTAATACGGCGCATACCAAACGGGTCAAATACGATCAAAAACGGCCGTTTACGATCGGGCTTGTTTCACCTGGGAAGTTGAATGCAAAAACAGAAGAAATTATTGAAGAAGAAATATTACTGAATTTTGGAGATATTGGATCAAAAACAATATTTGACTTAAACAACAAAAGACAAAAAATGCTAATAAATAAGATAACGGAGCTAGGTATGTGATTGTTTGTTATCACTAATAAAAATTGATTGCAGTTTGTTCTAGATAATAATTATAATTCAATGATTGACCTGATAAATGATATAAAACAAAAACAACAAGTAAGTGTATCTTTATTTGCCAGCATGTTTGAAGAGAGAAAGTTTTCATTTCTTTTTTTTCTATGAATAATAGGCAGGTCATTAAATAGATGACCTGCTTTATTATTCTTTTCTTTCTCATTATTCTCGTGGCATATATATAGCAGTCATTAATGTAACTGTTTTTCAGCTTATCTTCGATATGGAAACAAACTTGAAAAATTTTTGGAAAAACTTATTCTCAGCGATGATCCAACTGAATTGATCAAAGAATTAATAGCAGATCAATCCATCGAATTTAATAAAGTAATTTGTTGCGTTTTGGATCATGTTGTACAAATACAAAATGAAAGTAAGATCCAATATTTAGCTGAATTTATTGGTCATACATGTTTTAAAAAAAAATGTTTGGCAAATATTGATCATCAAGTCAATTCTCTTGATAGTGGTGAAGAAAATTCTTTAAAAAGAATTTTTATTAAAAAAATTTTACAGGAAACAGGTAAGAGATAATTTTCTTATTGCGAAGAACATAAATTGATGTTGTTTATTTAGGTCATCTAATTACAAAGAACAAACCTGCTGCTTGGAATCCAATTATACTTGATTATGTGCGCTTATGTGCAACAGTTATGTTATGGTGACGATGTTAATATTTTTTTTTCTTTTTGTCAAAAAAAAGTTTTTTCTGTAAAAAGACAAAAAAAAATAAAGCAAAGCTCAAATGATGTCAAAATAATATCAATGAAAAAAGAAAATAATCTTAATATTTTATTTTGTTAGATTTGATATCTGTACTTTATATCAGACATTATCTAAAGTGTTATACAATAAAAAAGAAAAAAATTCAATCAAATATGCACTTCAACTATCTGAATAATCAACAACAAAATCGTAAAAATCGTGTTCCTCCACCTACTACAACTAATCTTAGAATGTTAGATTCTCCTGCACAGTCTCCTTGTAGACGTATGCGTGAACAAGATGATGATGAATTTATTACTGTTGTACACACAGGGGTGGCGCGAGTCAACCAACATTGGGGGGGTGTAGCGAAATTTTTTGGACTAGAAAGACGAAGTCTGCAATTTTTCGGGGGGTGTAACATTGTTTTTGGTGACAAATGGAAGAAAATTTCCTGATTTTGCTGAGCAAAAAAACAGAAATTTTTGAAGATTGGGGGGGTGTCGCACCCCCGACTACCCCCCGGTCGCGCCACCCCTGTGTACACAATAAAAAACGTAAACAATTAAACAAGGATTTCGATGATCAATTTGAAGATCCACAACAGAAGTACAATAATCCTAATGCACCTATACAACAGCAGACAAGCATTTACAATAATAATCACAACAATGATCCACCACCTCTACTTGCAACACAATCATCAAGAACCATTACTTCTCGTACAATTTCAAATTCGAATCTCAATCCAAGTCAACCAAAACAACAACAACAAAATAAAATTACACCCGAATCTGCACGTTTTGCACAAACACGTTTTCCCTATCAACCCTTCATCATTCGTTTTACATCGGGAAACATTAAAGATAAACAAGTGGCACATGAAATTTCAAAACATTTTAAAGATAATTATCATACTGATATATCAATTTTAAATATTCGTCGATCAATAATGAAATGTCAACAAAATGAGTATGACTATTTGATCTATGTCAAAGATTCAATTACATTTTCATTACTATTTCATCAACAAAACTGGCCCCAACGTATTGGTAGAGAAACTTTTATATTTCCTTCCTCACCATCATTTCCTGCACAGCTTTCATTCATAATAAAGAATGTTGACCTACGTATAAATCTTGATGATTTTGCTGAAGATTTGAAAGCTACCTATCCTGAAATTCATGCTGTAATTAGGTTGAAAAATAAATTTCAAAATAATATTAGATTAATTAAAATTGAAATTCTATCACCAATGATTCGTGAGCAAATATTAAATTCTGGTAACATTCTAGTAAATAGCATTACATATGACGTGGAGGAATATTTATCACCAGCAAATGTGTTGATCTGTTCTAAATGTATGGCCATCGGCCACTTTAAAAAACAGTGTACTCAAATCAATGAAACTTGCAAAGTGTGTGGTTTGTCCTGTCCTGATCTTCGTCATCACAACTGTTCATTGGTTAATAAATGTGTTCACTGTAATGGTGATCACGTTTCAAATTCATTTAAATGTCCTATAGTTAAAAATTTTCGTGCAGAATTAACAAAAAAATTGTTGTTTTCAAATCGTATGTCATCGTCTTATGGTTCAACAAATACTAATATCAATAATACGTATAATTATGATGCAACTGCTTTTCCAGTACTTCCTCGTCCACAACAACCATCACCATATTCGATTACTAATAATTCAATGATAAATAAAATAGATGAATTAATTAGTTCTGTACGTAAAGTAAATGATACATTAGAAAAATTTTCGAAGAAAAACGATGAATTTGAATTATTTATGAACAATAAAATTAAAAATGATGAAATATTATCTACGAAAATTGATCATTTAATAGAAAATGATGTAGAATTTAAGAAAAATATTATTCAACATGAAATTAAAATTACACGACACGAAAATATATTTTATAAAATTAATTTTACCAATGATGGATGAAATCAGTAAATATTTATCAATAATTAATATCGACAAGAAAGGTGGTACATTAGATGCTGATTTTCAAGTTACAATAAACAGAATGCGTGTACAATTGGAAAACGTAACTCAAAATAAAAACTTCTAATGTCACTTTCTCCATATGCAGTTCCTTTTTTCGACCCCTGTAGCCCAAAAATGACTTCTTTTGAGAGAGAACTCTTCATTCGTAAAGCACAGATGAACCTATCGTATTTTGATTTTTCTCTTTGGTCTGAAATCTTATTTGAATGGGAAAGTTCCCCTACACTTACTGCTTGTCTAAAAAGTTGGGAGCCATATAGAGTCATTGATACGTCTTCAATTATTAATTCTCTTCATATTCTATCATATAATGTTCGAGGTCTTGATTTGCGTTATCAGGAAGTATTACTTCTATCTAACTCATTTAAATTCGATATTTTGATTTTACTAGAAACAGGCTTTTTTGATTTTTCACACTGCAGACAGGTTTTTTCTAAATATAAAGTCTACTATCAGAGAGGCGAAAATGCGCATGGTGGTGTTGTTATGTTAGTACGAAATGATTTAAAAGCAGAAAGAGTTGTTTGTGATTTACCGAACGTATGTGTAACTGATATTCTAGAAGAAAATGATAAAATCAGAATTGTAGGAGTTTATGCACCGGAGAGCAAAACATGGAAGTGGGAGGACCTATCACCTCTAGTTTTGAGTAAATGTGTTTTTTATGGTGATTTTAACGTAGATGTAGAAGAGGATCTGCTTAAGGCCGAGTTACTACTTTCATGGGCAGATTCTCACTTTCTTTCACCGTATATTCCTGATTCCATCACCTCTTTAAGATCGAACCGTACAATTGACTATGCTTTTTCATGCGGCTTCTCTGTTTCTATCCAAACGTATGAAGGTGTAGTTTCTAGCGATCATAAACCTCTTCTTTCTGTTATACCAATAAAATCTAAAGAAAGTGTTCTTGCACGTAATATTCATTGGAAAGTTTTTTCGTTGTTCAGTGAGTATGTTTATCCATTTTGGGAAAAAAATTGGTGCTTAAATAGCGTAAATAATGTCTACAACGATTATGTATCTTTTCTCTCTCTTCTTATCTCACGTTGCACTATATTCTTTCCAATTAACAAATATCGTATTGCTATTCCACAAGCTCTACGAGTTTATATGTCCCACACACGTGCGTTAGCATATAGGCAAAAAAGAACAGGCGATGAAGTAGTAAAGATCATAGTTAAACTTAGAAGAAAAATGGCTAAAAAAGAACTTAAAGTCTTTTTACTTAATCAACTATCTTCTTCTTTATCAGCACGTAATACCTCTTCACATCTTTCTGTTTCTTTTTGGTCTCGTACAAAGAAGTTCATGAAATCTTCATCTTCTTCTCTACATGGTTTTATTCTTCCCAACGGTGAGATAGTAAAAGAAGCTGAGAAAATGTGCGAATTGAGTGCGGATCATTTTGAGAACTTGTTTAAAGAGTCCGAAAATATTTATAGGCCGCATCCATACACCGATGCACCTGAAATACGATGGGAGAATTACGAAGAAGAAATTCCACCAGTCATAATTGATGAAGTGCTGGAGGTAGTTATGGGACGCAAAAAGAAAAAATCCTGTGACGCGCATGGTCTTTCTAACTTTATGTTCAACTTTTTACCAATTGATTATTGGTCTCTACTACTTAGAATCTTTAATTTATCTTTCGTTAGTAATGTTGTACCTGATCTATGGAATGAAACCAGAATTCTGCTTTTAGCTAAAAAAGAATCCATTTGTGAAGTTTCTGCCACCCGTCCTATTTCTCTGCTCGATGTGTTCTTAAAAGTGAATGAAAAATTGTTTTTAACTCGTTTCTCTAATGTGTTAGAACGTAGAGGTCTACTACCAGATACACAATCTGGGTTTCGGGCCAAGTTTCGGCTCCAAACACGAGTGCTACTATTTCTTGAACAAGTTTCAAGTCTCATGGCTAATAGTTCGCCAGTGGCGACGGTCTTTATAGATTTCAAAGCTGCTTTTGACCAACTTTGGTTCGATGGGTGCATCGGAAAATTACAGAGAATGGGACTTCCAAGGGCGTATCTTATGTGGATAAATACTTGGTTAAGAGGAAGACGAGCGTATATTGAAATAGGTGGTAAAAAATCAAGGTGGTTTAATATATCGAGAGGGTGTCCTCAAGGATCTATACTTTCACCTACGTTATTTATTAGTTATCACGCTGATATGGGCGATTTTCTTTCTTTTTGTCTTAGTTACTCTTTCGCTGATGATCTAGCAGCAGTTTTAGCGGGCAGTATTGGCATGAAGTATTCAAATCAATGTTTAGACCTTGAACGTAAACTACAATTATTCTTTGAACACCTTGAGTTTTATTCAGTGCTAACATTGCAACCCATAAACTATATAAAAACTGAAGCACTTTGGTCGGCTAGGGCCATAGGTAGCCCAAAATTTGATATTTCCTATGAGGGAAACAAAATACCATGGGTAAAGGAATTTAAATATCTTGGTTACTTGATTACACCAAAACTTGGTTTTGGTACCTTAATTAGAAAAAGTATGATGAAAATTAGACAACGTATCAGTATGATAAATTCTTTTCGTTTTTCTGGTACTACTTCCCCCGCGTTAAGAAAAGCGTTATTTCTCTCTTATGTTCTTCCTTTGTTTACTTGGTTGTTTCCTCTCTTTCCATTATTTACAGTTAAGCAACAAAATGATTTAAATCACTTTTATTATACAAGTCTAAAACGAGTGTTTTTTTGTTTACAGTGGCGCGACAACTTCTTTTCTTACGCACTCGATGAAATATCATTAGAGGACAGATGTTTGAGATATTGGAACAAGTATCTATTTGCATTATCGGACAGCATGGATGGGGAGTTAATGTTTGAGCAAGCGAACTTAAATGTGTTTAGAAAAGTCTGGCTGCAAGGTGATAATAGTATAAAGGGAATTTTCAGGTCAAGACGATATGTAGAACATGTTTCA